AGCAAGACTCTAGGCCAAACATGAAAAAGAAGACCTTGACACTTTGTCAGAATAGATTAAATACATCAGATGGATGATAAAATCTCACATTAAGCAGCTAAGGGACAATATGAAAACCATCTATTCTTCTGTCTTCAATAATTCAAAAGTGAACAAAGATTAATTACACGATCAATATCTACTGGTTCCAGCTGAGAAACCTGATAACAACACTGGCATTGTTTGTAAGGCTCATCATTTTAATTGGATATTAGAGGAACTTGAATTTACTTCTGCAAATGGTAATCTAATTTATATTCATAGATCCTTTCTAAAGAGGAAATTCTTTAAAATTTTATGTCTGTTTTATAAATATTTAGTAATCCCAACAATCAAATTGAACTTGAACTACCATACCTATACTGCATTTCTAAACTACATAAAATCCTAACAAAGATACAAAGCGGGTTCCAGTTAATGTTCTACCCAGCCTGTTTTTCCCTAAATAAAATATTAAGAGCAGTGAGGGAGAAACCTTAGGAATATTGTGCATCAACATATTCGAAAAGTGGTGTAAATCTTATGTGGATCTTGATTTAATTTTCTAGAGCAAATATCGAAAAAAAAAATTGTGTAAAATTATTGTCCAAAGCATATTTTATCTCCCCTTGGTTCAGTTGGTCTCTTATTTCGCTCAAGAGTGGTGTTCATGGGGTGGAGGATGTGCATTGTTCTTGAACTATTTTTATAGATGGAAGATCAAGGTCAGAAATCCTCTTTGTCCAGGGTGTATTTTCTTTCCCCTTGGCAAAACCTGGGTCAAACTTCAAGCTTCTATGTTCTTGGTTTGCCAACATACACATGTACTTATCCTATGCATCCAAAAAAATTAGGAAGAACTATGCATTGAGTATTATGTTGGGCAAGAGCTCCAGGGTGATCCCAACCCCCTATTTATAGCTCACCTGAGCTGAAGGCTCAAGTGAGTTCTGATCAAATTTTGTCTCCGTTGTCTGTCATTGTTGTTGTCTTCATCCTAAAGTTTTTACAGTATCATCTTCTCAAGAACTGCTGGGCAAATTTAAACAAAATTGTCACAAAGAATCCTTGGGTGAAGGGGATTTAGAATTGTTCAAATGAAGGGTCAAACCTTCTTTTAAGGAGAGATAAGAATGAGTGAAAATATTAAAGATAGTGGTTTTAACCAAAATTTCTCAAAAGCAGACTAGTGACATACCTTTACTATTGTTTATTGATAAAATGTCGTCAAAATATATATAAATGTTGAGTTGAAGGCCACAGCTAGGGTTTTCTTCTTTTCTTGACGAAATTCTTTAATAAATTCTGCTTTAATTCAATTGAATCAATATTTTAGTATGTGAAGTCAATTACATTATTGGAGGACAATAATTAGAAGACATCAGGTGTTGCGTATATAAGTCCCCTTAAAATTCTGCTTTATAGGTGTATAAAAACAGGTCGGTTAATAAAAGAGCACAATTTGTGCCTATCGAAATTCAGCAGTTTTTTTGGAAGACCTTGTCTCCGAAGAGACATAGATATCGTCAATAAGGTATTCCAGCATTTTTTGACCATTCACAAGAAACGAAAATTTAAGACATCCATTCTTATTTAGGAAGCAGTTGTCTATGATGTCAAAAAACCTGCTCAAAAATTTATCGCAAGGAATGGTCGTTAAAATTGTAGAAAAGTCATATATTTTGATGTTATTAGTATGTGAAAAGTAAACAGAGAAAACTAGCGTCTGCACTGATAACTCTACCTAGAACTTTAATTTAAAGTAATGTGTCTTCTTAATGTGTCTTCTATGTGTTTGTCTGACATAACTGAGGACACAACATCCACAAAAGGTTAGTTAGGGTTTTTAAAAACCCGCTAATTGAATATATTTTATTAAGTTACATTTTATAGTTGATGGTTATTCATTATACAGCACTAAACTTATGAATTAACAAATTTCAATGAATTTAAATTTTCTCCAAACAAAAGCGGGATACCTGCGTAGTTGCCATTAAAGTGTTAATTACATTGTGAATTCAAATTTGTTCCAGTCTTTCTTCTTATTTTCATTTGAATAAAAACGTTGGATCAAATCCATCATCTTTCTGGTGAACAAAGTATGTAAGACATCAAACACTTTGTGGCTAAGCTAATATGATCGATGGTGCTTCACAAAATAAATAAATTAATTAATTAATTTTCTTATTTTTCATTGAATATTTCCTTAAATCAACAACCATGTACACGAATATGCTAAAACTAATCCATTAATCCTTGATAATTAATCAGCATTATTTTAATCTCAAAGAAGCCCTGAGAATAAGAGCCGTAATTATTATACACAATATATTTGCCGACTCGGAAACAGTTTAGGTGTGCAATGGAAATATCGGCAATCTTTTTGATTAAAAATATTTTCTTAATAAGGATGGTCATTCTTTTTACTACTTTATTTATATCGGACAAATGTAATTATGGTTAATAACTACATAATTAGGACGATTAGATTTTACATTTAGATTTGTCAAGTGATGTGGCAGTCATGTGATTTTAGCAAATATACTTGCTGTATTGAGATCACCTATAAATTTCACTAGTGCAAGAACGGCATTAAATATAGATATAATTAATTCATTTTCAAGATTTCACCAGGTTTGCAGCACTTTTCAAATACCTTAATCCTTCTAGAATTTATTTGTAAAAGCTTACTATGATTCAATGAGTGTATGCCCTAGCACTAGATCGATTTATTAAGACCCTTACATTAACATCGAATGTACTTGCATACAAATATACGGTGCATTAATTGAATAGGAAATGTGCGGAAAATATGTGAGTGAAATAATAAAAAAGACATTGCATCCAAGTTAATGGCCTCTTAAATTTCTGCAAATAATATTATATTTAATTATAAGATACATTTTTCGTTGAGAAAATATTACAGTGTACTTGATCCGCCTCTCGCTGCATACAAACGTTTTACGAAATGGCGTCACATCGATAAGTGCATCGCAATCAGTGACTTGTTTAAACTTTGCTATATGGGATTAAACTAACGACAAAACAGCATATTGTAGTAAATTTTAATGTAGTTTGATGGTTTCCTAGTTAAACGGAGCAAATCATTTCATTTTGTGGTATTTAAGAATTGTTAGTTTTGTATGATGTCATATTCATACTTCCCGTACAGATTAGGCTCCGCCGCCACTTTGTAGCCTTAACGAGTCCCAGTCTACTTGGGTTTTGCATTCGTTTTCAGTCAGCGTTGTTTCAGACGCGTCACAGCACCCTTGATTACCGTCACAATTGAATACAATAACGTCACAGTTAAAATGACTTCAAATTGCGCTAAAAAAAATTTACATTTCTTGCATTCCTTGTATGTCTTGACTCTCACTCATTCAGGCATTTCTATTAATGAAATATATGGAGATAAAGAACATTATTCAAGCTCAAAACTCCATTAAACATTACAAAAAAAGGAGTAGAACCAAACATTAGAGGTGGGATCAGGTGCCATGGTGGAATGAGCATCCCCTGTCGACCGGTCACACCCGCCGTGTGCTTCTTATCATGATCGGGAAATAACGGAAAAATTCTTGTGCTTTAATAAATAAACGGTTTGATTAAAAACAACTTTGTAACATTATTTATTTTGAGATATTGTGAATTTCTAAGTAGATATTTATAAGTTTAATCTTATTTTATTTTAATTTTGGAGTTTAAAAAAATGGAACCTAAAGTAAACACATTTAGAATTTCTCCTTGAAAATGTTTATCAATTTTGTCGATAACTTTACTATGCTAGCAGTAGATTGAATTAAAAAAAAATTCTACGAATCATTTAAATGCAACCAAGAAGAAGTAGTTTAGTTTCTTACATATTAACAAACTTTGTAATTTTATTGCCTTCCCACCCCCCTCCCCCTCCCCCTTCCCCACCACCGTTTCTTTTTCGACGTAAAACAACGTTTTGTGTTAGATAAAATAACGATTGGAGAGAAAATTCTTTCATAATGTAAGGAACACTTAATTTTGAGAAACATATACAATACAACAATCATTAATTGATATTATGTAAACCTACTGCGGCTTATAAAGTATCTTAGATGTAATTTAAAGTCCAATTTTTGTGTTTTGATATGCCCCCTTTTAACTACCATAAAGGCGACCCCCATAATTTCTTTTCATTTTTTAAACGAGGAATGGAAACTGCAAATATATGTAAAAAAGCAAAACATTTCTTTCTTTTTTTTTTTTTTGGATTTATGAATTCCGTTGTTTTTATGTAGTTTTAGCATATAATTTTCTGAAAAACCATAAAAAATGTCCATATCTTGAAATTCTATTAAACTGAAATCTGCATAAGATTTTTCAGCTTCGCTAGCCAAGGGTTTCCGATCCGAAATCTACTAGAGTAGATTTCGGATCGGAAACCCTTGGCTAGCGAAGATGAAGATTTTTATGCATTTTGTCATTTACTATTAAGAAAGAAGCTTTCTATGCAATTACATGCCCTTTCAAATATGATATAAATGATGACCATTTGCTGATATCGACATTTGTAAGAAGTGTACAGAATATAAATTTATACTAATTCATTCTTTTTCATTACTTACGGAATGTACACGGTAGTGATGAGAATGACGCAGTGGTTTTGTCAATAACTGTAGAAATATTAGTTAAAAACACACAATTTCTAGGGGACAAAAGCTATAAAAGCAGATTTTATTCGCTTTGTAAATTTGGTATTCTTCTGTGTGAATAAACAAAATTATTCATTCAAATGAAATTGACTTTCGTAAATAAAGTGAACGACACTCTTGTAATCAATTATTTAATGGATTCATTGCGAATGTGTTTTATTTGATCACAAAAACAATAATCATCTCTTTTATTTAAATTGTTAGATTATGTTGATGTATCACATTACCAAATCGCAATTAGTTCTTGACTGTGATAAGGACGAGATTTTGTGTAAAGTGGGTATTATCATCATGTTGAATAAGCTCATAATGACAGCCTTCCATGTAGTGAGCTTCTTTTCAGCCATTTTAGCTTCTGTGTGTTCTGTTCCGGAATACTGTGAAAAGAGATTAGAAAGAGACAGAGACTACGATAATGCTACGATCACAAATTCCTCTTACATCGGAAAAGAAATTTTGTACGTCAATCTGCAATCATGTGCCCAGAAATGTCTAACGTATCGTTGTGCGTGTTCGGCCATTTTTCACAACAGTCAAATGGGAACCTGTGTGCTGTTGAGCGCCACATTAGATCCCCAGTCTATTGGGTCTGGCCCCATTGAGGGGGACTGGGAATATTACACAACTCCAAAAGGTAAATTTAAAGTTAAATTTAAAATCCTTTAAGGAGGCTGCGGGGGGGGGGGGGGTCAACAAATTAACCATCAAATATAACGTACTTTTTTTTAGATATAATATCTTAAGCTGTCAACTGTCATTTGGTAAAGAAACATTTCATACATCTTAGTTTGAAAATTTGATCATTTTGTATATCTTTATATGGAGCTCTTCTTCTAAAGGAGATCAATATGGTCTGAAAATGGCCACAACCCCCCAGCCCTCTTAATGTACTTTAATCCTGAATCATCATCATTATTATGAATTATTTTTTGTTACGTTTTAGTATTGCTTTGTACCTCTTCTTAAGTAAGCTAAATTAATTTAAAAAATTTCAGGACTAGTTGAACAGGTAAACGGAGAAGAAACTTAGAAAGACAGACAGACAGATTAAAGATAGAGATAACAGACAGACAGACAGACTCACAAATATGTACACTCACACATGCGTACATTGTATATTTATAATGTCAACGTTAGCTGATCCCTAAGAAAGTTATATAGTTAATAGTTATAAAAGTTATATATAGTTTAACTTTGTCATATCCTGAGGCCACAAACTATATCAGATACGTGGTCTTGGTTGACTCATTCAAAGGCTGTAGAATAGAACCATTTGTATATAATTTTAAAAAAGACTGTAAACAGGTGATTGCTAAATATATTGCTTTTCAATATTGTTTAAACTTTTCCAAATCCTGAGGCCATAAACGTATATCAGATACGTGGTCTTGGTTGACCCATTCAAAGGCTGTAGAATATTTGATATTTTAAAAAAAGACTGTAAACAGGTAATTGCTATATATATTGCTTTTCAATAATATTAAAACCTGTGTTTTCAGACCATTGTTATGGATTTTCACGATACAAAATATTTTAAAAAATATCACTCACTCTATATGAATAATTTATGTAGATAAAAATATAAACAATTAAATGTCATTGTTAATACGGGGATGAACGATTGCTATCAGGATTCCCTCCAAAAATACAATGCCTGCTTTTGCAGGTTATGCGGTTTTTTTTCTTTCGCAATGTTGCAACTTGTCACCCCTTTTTAACAAAAAAGCTTTAATTGTTTAAATAAACTCTATGACTTGTAAACAGGTTGTGAGCCAGACTGACTGGAATATAGCACTCACTGCTACTTCATTTACCAAACAGAGGTCAGGTGGATGGAGGCGAAGGTATGAACTCGGTGTCAAACATTGAGGATTCAAGAGAGTAACTGGAGAATAAATGTTTTGATTAAGAATATATGTTGAATATGCATGACTTAATTATCTGTTTTTATACAATGTTTAATTCTGTTTTTATTTTTTAGTAACCGTACACGGTAGCTCAGTCGGTAGAGCGCTCGCTCCGTGATCGGAAGGTCGTGAGTTCGAATCTAGACCGCGACTGACCTAAGTCGATAAAAAATAGGTAGCAATTGTCTCTTCGCCATGCGCTCAGCACTTTGAAGTGAAAGTTGCGGGTCCTTCGGATGAGACCTTAAAAACCGAGGCCCCCTGTCATGAGAGGCTTTGGCTCGATAAAGATCCCCCTCTGCTCAATGACTCTGAGTGCCGAGTAAAGGTCAAAATTTGAAGCCCTTCACCGGTATATGGTGACGTGTCTACATGAGTGAAACATTCTCGAATGGGACGTCAAAAACATACAATCAATCAATCAATATTTCTTAGTATGAAGAAAGAGAATAAGCATGATAAGTTTAGGATTTTTAAATGAGTCATTTTAACAGCTTCTACAGTTAAACTCTTCAATTTGAGAGTGAATATCACGCTGCACTTGTCGGCGTTTAACGTTTGTGACGTTAGAATTAAAAAATCATTACATTATCTTTTGACCTTTCCGTCCGTCTTATGCTGTTTTGAATTCCAAAGATTTCCATGCATTTTATAAAGAAAATACACGTGAAATGTACATATACTTCGTTATCGTAATATTTCCTTATAAGAGAGATTAAGTAAATTTCCAGTCTGAATGTGAAGCAAGATGTTCCCATCTGGTGGAAATAGAAACTAAAGAAGAATCTGATTGGTTGGCTGAGACATTTGTCTTGAAAGGTAGGTGACTTGTTACAAAAGAATAATCTGAATTCCTGGCTTGGACGTATTCGTTTATCGATAAGTCTTAGTTGTTCATTGACCTTTATGATCTACATTGAGTAAAACATCTAAATATGAAACAGATATGGCAGACTCTGTGGTGTCTTTTATTTTAAGTTCTCTGGTATATATCGAGTCGACATACGAACTATTGTTAAATGATAAAATATCGTCGATATATCTGAGTGTCGAAGTAAGTCATAAATTCAACACTAATTCGTTAACGATTGCGAAATAATAAAACACGTTACAAAATGTTCTAGTATCCTCTAACGTTGTTGAATATTTACCTTTTCTGGTGTTTTCAAATATATCCCAATCTTTATCAAAGATTAAAATTAAATCTGCCTTTTGATATTTTAAGTCCCTTCCTGAAGATACAAGATTTTTTCTAAACTAGTGTTAACTGACTTGGAAAATAAGATGCATGAAACATATGGAGATAACGAACAGTATTCAAGATTCAATATTCCATTAAATAATATAAATTTTAGAGCAAAGCAAACACGGAACAGGTGCCATGGAGGAGTGAGTATCCCCTGCCGACCGGTCACACCCGCAGTGTACTCACATTTAGTGTACATAAAAACATCATCATTAAAATGAATTCATGACCTCATAGGTCAGACACAGCCCTCCAAACGAAATCAATGATTTATATTCATATATTCAGAGACATTATCTCAATATTCCGTACAGTAGCAGGGCTGCATTGAATCTTGCTATGGGATGGAATCTTGCTGGACACCGTCTGTTCACAGTTGTCCTTTCATCCTAGTTATTGGAATTGAAATATTTTCAAAAAATAAAGGTAATAAAGTCTTTAAAATATTCTAAATCCTATTCAAATAGAAAATCTAATGACCTGCATACCGGAAAACACACTTATAGCAAACACGCTTTTAATGAATTGACGCTCATAGCGAAGTGATTTTCATTCCTCTTAGTTTTGAATAGTATTATGAACTTAACGGATATAGCGAATATGACGAATTACGTTTATAACGAAGCTAATCTCTCCGTCCCTTTCACTTTGCTACTAGCGTGTTTTATCCATTATACTTTAATTGAGCTTAAATTATCCACATCTAGAATTTTTTGTATAAACCAATTCTTTTTTTCAAATTTTTTATGCAAGGAATATATATATATAGGACAACAAGAAAATGATTTAGTTTTACAAATTTCATTACGTATTTATTTGTAAAGCATTTAAATTCTTTCTTTTCCAGACACGTGTCCGTCTAACATTTTTGCTTTCTGTCGCGCTTGGACGGGAGGCAACGATCTTAGAACGGAAGGCAGATACCAGTGGGACAATGCTAATGAAAGCATGGCCTTCACAAATTGGGATTCAAATGAACCAAGCATAACCTATCCTTTTCAAGCAAAGGATAGCGACCGTATCCACCTACTTAGAAATGGTAAATGGAATGATGTACCTTGTTCGACCTTCTGTGAGAAGGCCTGAAGGTCGATAGACAAGAACTATGCTGGTATGTTTTTATCAGTGCGTTCAGGAGTTGTGCGTCTTTGTCTATCCGCAAAGTGTACGTTCTCAAATTTAATATATTCATGTAAAAGTTGAAAACAGATAATTAGAAATATTTCTTGTTGACACATGTAACGTTTTGTGGGAGTTGTGTGATTTTATATTATTTTATTTTGCTATCAATTTAGTCTAAAAGACGTCTCATCATTAAAATGAAAGCATAATAACTTACTTAATGAAAATGAACATATTACGGAAGAATGCTACACGAAAATTTTATTTAACTGGTCTTTAAAGTAATTGTAATTTTCAAAAAATGGACCAATCCCAATCGAAATTAAACTGATCCAAATCAAAATTAATTCAAATTTTTTACAGAAGTACTCAATTCTGCCATTCTCTCTAAGAAATCTATTTGAAAGACAATTTTAATTACTTTGTAAACCATATTACACTCAAGCAATTTAGCATTCTTGTGAAATTGTTATATATTTTCCATTTTATACAATTCTGGTTGGGATCAGATTTATTTCCAACAGGATTGGTCCTAGGTTTAAAATAGTCATGTTTCTAAGTATATAAGTCTAAGTCTATAGTATTTAATACTATAATTTATTTTGATAAACATTTATCAAAAAAAAAAAACAAAAAAAAAATATTTCTGATTTTTCTTGACATATCTAATTTGATAATAATCTTACGCATTTATTAACTGCAAATTCTAAATTCTAAATCATCTATTTTACAATGAAAATAAACATAAAGAACAGTAATCAAAACCAAAAGTCCATTGAAACCATACAAATGTGAAGCAGAGCAATCACAGACCTCTATATAAATTTAAACATTTTCCTGGATAAAATACAAACAAGAAGGCCATGGACCACATCGCTCACTTGAGCACATTGGCTAGGAAAAAGCAGAGATCTTGTTCATTATTGATAAGGTTACGGGAGGGAGGGGGTACTTCAATTTACACTACCTCAGGATGCTTCCATTTCTATATTGATAGTCATATTAATAGTCATGGCTTTGTTGTTCTTGAGCAGAAGAATTTTAAAGATTTTTTCCCTATGTATTCCTATGTTAAACTCTGATCGCTCATTGTGGCCCCACCCTATCCACCCTAAATTTGAACAAATTTGAATCTACACTGTCTGATGATACTCCTATAATAATATGACTATATGACTAAGAGCTAGGTTCACTTTATGCATAAAATAGCCCTGTCGATATACCAATTTATTGACTAACACCCTGTGTACCAATTTCAACATTAATATAAAGTAGAGACTTGGTGCTTTCAGTTTATATAACAGAATTGCAATGGAAGAGCACAAGCATTAAAGAACAGGTCGTGTGAAATTGCAATATTATTGAATTTTGAAGAAAATAGATATCTTTGAGAACGTTCAGCAAAGAATTAAAATATGAGCACACCCCTCCATCCAAAAATTAAAATATGTTTTATAATCTTCATTAACAGTTCTTTTAAAATATATTTACACACTTTGGATCGGAGGTTGTACTGTATATGAAATATTGAAAAATGGCGTCATCTTTCGGAATTTCTGTTGAAATATTCAGGATGTGTGAAAAATGACGCAATTCATGACGTCATAATGCATTGACTAGCAAGAACATTTCAGTAGATAATCATTAACTAGGTGTTCAAGTATTATATATTGCCTTATCGACTAAAACTATGCAGTTTTGAATTTTCAGAAATTGACAGGGCCAAAAAAAGGCCCTAAGTGGCTCTTGCTCTTTATCTACCCTATTAAAAAAGAGGTATTCCTTTAAATAACAAAAAAGTTATTATTCCTTAACCACTGTCAATAAAATATAACTTGTGAGTGTGTCGAAGGGTTTAAGATTTGTAGCGTTGTTCCAATTAAGAATTCGTTCATTAAGATCAAAATGAACAATTCTTACATTTAATATGTAATTGCAAGCATTAAACTTTTTTCCTGTCAGTGAGAATGATAAGGAATATTTTGTAAAATCAAATAGAATAGAAAGAATGTAGTGATTTTTTTTTCAATATTAACATTTTTTTTTGCATTTGTCGTATTTTTCAAGGTCCCTTTTGCTTCATGGAAGGGCAATAAAATAAACATACACAGTTGTATGCAAAAGTAAAATTAAAATGAAACTTCTCATTTAAAACAGTCCCCTGGATATTGAATTTCATTTGATGCTTTCAATTATATCATAGTAAATACCAAAATAAAGACTTGGAAATATTGTTTATAATAATTTGAAGATAAGGGTTACCTTACATTTCAATGATTTCTATTAATACAATTGAAAAAATGCATTTAACCAAATGATAGATTCAAGAAACAAACCAAAGAGAAAGGCTGAGTTTTAGATCGGTGCCTAGAGCTATGTTATTAAAAAGCTTGAAAATTTATAGTTATTCTTTTTCACAATATGACTTCAGCAAATGACTCAGGTTTGTATTGCAAAACAAGCACGCCTCCTTTCCATTCTTTTAACCAACAAAATATGGCTGAAACATTTTCATTGTAATGTCATTAAAAATTTTTAAAAAGTAACAAAAATAAATTACACTGCATGATGAACCTTAAAAATGTAGTATGAATGAATCCTTTTTTCTAGAAAAACATCCAAACATGAAAGAAATGTATGAATCTCTGTGGTTTCTTTCATGTTTATCTCAATGGGATAGATCGAATTAACGTAGGAATGCAAATAAATATTGTTAATCTAAAAAAGTCGTCGATATATCTAAATGTGGTTTAAAGGGTCACGGCAAGAGAGCTTTTCTTCAAGATGGTTTTTTGAATAAATTCTGCTTCATAGAAATACTCATTCATGTACGTCCCCATGACATTGCAAAAGACAGAATATTACATGAGAGGTAAAACTCAGGAAATAGAAAACTTTATACCACATTAATCCATATATTATTGATAAGCAGGAGTGCTTTTCAGTTTTCTATGTACCTTGAAAAAGTCGATTTTATAAAATGAATAATTAACTTAATGTTCAGGAATATCATTTGGGGATCAAACTGCAGGAAAAAAACATATTTAAAAGAGGAAATAGGCGACAAAATATGATTTATTACGAAACAATGAAATTTTGAAATCTAAAGACAAACTTTACGGTTCCAAAAAGTAGATATTGAAAATTGAAGACAAACACTACTATACGATTCAAAAATGATATAGCGAAGTTAAAAATAAAACACTGTGGTATAATTTAAGACAGAAATACAGAAAATCAAAGACAAACACTGTGTTCATTAAAGATATCACACTAAGCTATAACCACGTCTCTATATGAGTGAAAAATTCTCCACTGGGAAATTTAGCAACATAAAATCAATCAATCTAAGCTATAACTTACGAGTTAAATACAAAAAATAAGTACTGAAAATTAAAAGAAAACGAACACTAACGTCTTTAGAAAGAAATACTTAGAATTGCTTATACTAATTCATATGCATGTTTTAATGAGCTGTGCACTATATAAAGTAAGAAACCTGCCAATTTCACAAGATGAACCTACACCTTTCAATTAACTGTATAGACACTGAAAGAACTTGAAAAGTAAGTAAAGACAAAGCAATTGTGATCAGAGCAAACATGGACCTCTGAAAAATTTAGCTGGGATCAGGTGCCATGGAGAAGTAAGCATTCCCTTGCGACAGGTCACATCCACCTTGTGCTTCTTGTCATGATCGGGTGCACAGATAAATATACGTAGACTATTCAATGTAAAAATAATAGCCTAACATTTGTAGGAAAGTTGTTAGTCAACATTCGATGTAGCGAAAGATCGTATTTGCAAAGAAGGTAATGGTATCGACCATAGAATGTGCGAAACCTCAAACCCTTGTATCTTCAACTAGCTTGGTCCCTTTTAGAAATTATTAACATGCTCCTGCTATCGAAACAACGGGGAAACATAAACACCATACGAGTATACAGGTGACAATGGTATGTTGCTACATCAACAAAGGAAGTTAGCGATATAGGAAAAAAAATGAGATCATCACGTTTATCCTTAAGTTTAGTTGTTAGTTGACTTTTTCCCTAGCAAAACATCCAAATATGAAAGAAATGTATGAGACTCTGTGGTTTCTTTTATTTTGATGTCAATGGGATATATTGAATTAACGTTGGAACGGAAATAAATATTGTTAAGGTGTTTGGCTTCTGACAACAAAAATAATTAAAAATTTAATTTTTCTTTTTTAATTGTAAGAATAAACATAATTAATTATTTTAAGCCAAAAAAGTGCATATGTATATGATTTGGTTTACAAGCTATAGGCGTTTATGCCAAAGGGAGGTAAATCTCTCATTTTAGTAAAGAAAAAGACCAAAAATGCGTCCAACGTATTTAATATTCCCTTTAACCTAAAAAATATTTTCAAATCATTTTGACTTTTTGTTATCTTTTAAAAGTAGTCATAAGGAAAATAAATATTGATGAAATAATGATGGTAATCAACCGAAGATAAAATTAATTCTTTAAAAAAATGCACACACCCCTGTGCAAAAATTCGCTTATTTTTCCTTTTGGGGGCTTGTAAAATAAGCTTGGAAAATGAATTAGAAATAATTAAAAAGTTAATTTTTTTCTAGTTAATTATTTCTTAGTTGTAGTGCTTTCAAACAATGTAAAATATTGTATATCTACATGAGTTACTTTAAAAGATATTTTCATATGAATTTCCTCTGACCGAATTTTCCTCAAATTTTGAACAGAGGAAATTCGGATTGATTATATTTGCTTCCTACATTATTTAGCCTGTTATTTTTGATGAATTTTCTATTTGCATGAATGTATGATTGTATTAAAACTCATTCTTTCTCTTAAAAAAAGGACATTAAAATATATTAGTGAACGACTATATTTGATATTGAGGGGGAAAGAGGGGGAAGGGGGGTATCGAGTCAGATTATTTTCGTGCCCTCTCAAGACAGAATATTTATTTGCAA